GTGCAAGGAATGAACAATCAATTAGGTACTCACTTTCTAGGTATCTCCAGATACATATAAATCTAACTTCTCCCCCCTTCTTTTTACTTGCAATCTTTGTTTTTTTGTGTCTTGTAAACAACAAATATATTTATTTATTAATCCAGATTCAGAATCACTTTTAACTAGAGGATTTAGTCTTATTTACACTTATTATAATTATTCATATATTTTATTAAATCTATTCTCTCTGTTCTATTAGTTCAACAATACTTTACCTCTTCTTTCCTCCTTCTTTTTAGATTATTTTCTCTTCTACTAAACTAGAAGTTACCCACAATGTTTTCTATTCTTTTCATAGTTACTCTAAAAGAGCATTAGCACATTCTGTAATAATGGAATGTGTAATAATAGCACATTCCAAATCTGTGTTGCTCAATAAGATATCTACTAGCCATATGTTACTACCGGGCAACTGAAATGTATCTAGTGCAACACAGAAAATAAATTTTTTATTGAATTTAAATAGCCACACTTGGCTACCACATTGGACAAAGAAATTATAGAAACTGTAACATCTAACTCTTCAAAGCCAAAAGTTAATATTCTTTTCTTGAACAATTAATTCTAGGCCCTTAGAATACTTTATCTTCTTCCCAACTTATGCTATTATGTTTGCATATGTTAACGTACTTTTTTTAAATCCCAAAATATAATGTTATATTTGATATAGTCAACAATCATTTATATTTATCCACATGTTTATCATGTTATTTTCTCTTCATTCACTTTTCTATCTGAAATCACTTTCCCTCTTTTCTAAAGTCCTTGTTTAGACTGTCTGCTAATGATGGTCTATAGCCAGGAAGCTATCTTTTTTTTTATGATTTAAAAAAAATTTTTAAGTAATCTCAACACCCAGTGTGGGGCTTGAACTTACAACCCTGAGATCAAAAGTTACATGCTTTACTGACTGAGGCAGCCAGGTGCCCCCAAGAAGCTATATTAATTTAATTAAACTACAAAATGATTTTTCTCCATTCTTGAATGATAATTTTTCTGGGAACAGATTATAGATTAGCATTTGTCTTCTTTCAGCACACTCAATATATCATTTCTTCTATCATCTGGCTTCCAAAGTTGCTCTTCAAGAATTAGTTATCATTAAATAATGGAGACATACCCTCTCAGTAGCTGATTCTGGTGTCTGATTCTCTGGTTCCAGAGAACTGCTGATATTTATTTGCAAGATCATTACTTACATAATACATAATCAGAATACAAAGAACTAACCAATTCTGATGGAGATTTCATACAGACCTAGAGGTTTCAAACTGTTGCCTTGTTCTTTTTTTTTTTTCCTTAGCAGAAGAATCATTCATCACAAGTAAGTAAAACATAAAAAGCTCAGTCCTCAGTTTGAAAACCACTGTGTACACCAGAAAAGTCTGATGAACAATTTTAGTTCATATACTACATTTGAGTAGTTTTTCTTTAAGCATATCAATTCAACTGACTACCAGGCAATATATAGCTACACATATAGTCAGAGCGATGATCTGAGTACAATTTTTAAGAACTCAGGCTTAAGTTTCTCAGGCTGTCAGCTCATTCTCCTCAAGAACCTAGACAGGGGCAGAACCACTGTCATCTGCCAGGATCCAACATGGCTCACCTTGAATATGTAAAATGTTGCACAAGGTTGGACTTTCCAGTGATTTTTATCAATTATAGGATGCCAATAAAGATACAGGCACCCTGTTTATAATAAGCCATGCTTTCCTTGCCCAGACTACCAGTTGCTTTTACCAGTCAACAAAGATGAAGAAACTTGCAACTATGATCTCTCCATCTTTGTGGTTAGTGCGTGCAGACATGTATGCATGCTTCATACTATCAATCAATATTTACTAAGAACTTACTATGTGCCAAGCACTGTTCTAACCAATGGGATATAAGATCCCAGCCCTTCTATAGCTGGGATCATTCTAGTAGGAGATGAGAGCCAATCAAGTAAAGAAATAAATGGGGGCTCCTGAGTGGCTCAGTTGGTTAAGTGTCCAACTCTTGATCTGGGTTCATGTTTTGATCTCATAGTTTTAAGTTCAAGTCCAGCATTGGGCTCCACAATGGGTGTGAAGCCTACTTAAAAAAAGAAAAAAGAAAAAGAAATATATAAAATTCCAGATAATATTAAGTGGTAAAGAAAATCAAATCAAAGAGGCTCATGGAGAGGAAATGACTAGGGAAAAGGAGGGTGACTAATTTCAACAAGTTGTCAGAAAGGGCCTCTTTTATTATTTATTTTTTATTAAAACAATTTTTTTAAGTTTTATTTATTCATTTTAAAAGACACAGCGAGAACATGAGCAGGACAGAGGCAGAGAGAGGGAGAGAGAGAATCCCAAGCAGACCCCATGCTATCAGTGTGGAGCCCGATGTGGGACCTGACCTCAGGAACTGTGACAGGACCTGAGCCAAAATCAAAGAATCATCCAGATACCCCCAGGAAAGGCCTCTTTAACAAGGTGATATTTCACCTAAGATCTGAATAATGAAGTACCAGAAACATAAAGATCTGGGAGAACAATGTGTTAGGCTGGTAAAACAATGTTCCACGGTAGGCAATCAGCTAGTACAAAAACCTGAAATAGAAATGAGCTTGAGGGGCACCTGAGTGGCTCAGTCAGTTAAGTGTCTAATTTCGGCTCAGGTCATGATCTCACGGTCCATGAGTTAGAGCTCCACGTCAGGCTCTGTGCTGACAGCTCAGAGCCTGGAGCCTGCTTCAGATTCTGTGTCTCCTGTCTGTTCCTCCCCAACTCATGCTCTGTCTCTCTCTCTCTCAAAAATAAATAAAAACATTTAAAAATTGAAAAAAAAAGAAATGAGTTTGATATATCTGTAGAACAGAAAGGCAGTTAGTGTTACTGGAGAGTAGTATGAATGAATGAATGAATGAATGAATGAATGAATGAAAATTTTAAAGATGGGATTATCATATGAGGTGAAGGTTGGACAGATAGGCAGAGTCTAGGTCATGCACCATATCATAAAAACTCTGTTAAGTATTTTGTATCTTATTTAAGTTATACTAGAGACTTTTAAGGAAATAAGGGGGACACAGAAATCATGGGGAGGGTTATTGTACACAGATCCCTCTGAGTACCAAGACAATTCAATGGGAGAAATAATAATCTTTTACAAAGAGTACAACAAATAGTACTAGGACAACTGGATATCCACATGCAAAAGAATAACGTTGGATCCTTCCTAAAGCTATATATAAAAATTACTCAAAATTGATCATACTCCTAAATATAAGCACTAAAACTATAAAGCTCTTAGGAGAAGATACAGGAATAAATCTTTGTGACTTTGGGTTAAGCAAAACCTTCTTAGAATGCCATAAGCAACAAAAGAAAAAAAAACAGATAGGGGCGCCTGGGTGGCTCAGTCGGTTAAGTGTCCGACTTCAGCTCAGGTTATGATCTGACGGTTCATATGTTCGAGCCCCATATCAGGCTCTGTGCTGACAGCTCAGAGCCTGGAGCCTGCTTCAGATTCATGTCTCCCTCTCTCTCTGACCCTCCCCTGCTTTTTTTTTTTTTTTTTTTTTTTT